GTGTGTGTGTGAGAGAGAGAGAGAGAGAGAGAGAGAGAGAGAGAGAGAGAGAAGAAAGGAAGGAAGGAAGGAAAGAAAGAAAGAAAGAAAGAAAGAAAGAAAGAAAGAAAGAAAGAAAAAGAGAGAGAAAGCTAAAGCTAATCTTAAAGTCAGGCATGATGGGTTGCTCTCTGAAGGAGTGGAGGCCAGCATTAGAAAGAAGAGGAAGTGGAGGCTGAGGGGCTTGGCGAGGGTTTGAGGTCACAGCTGGAGGGAAGATTCTGGTAACGAATGGTCAGAACAGAAAGGGTGGAGTGTAGTTGCTGAGCTTGGGGATATTCAAGTGTAAACCCAGACGGTGACTAAGATAAATGCAGGACACGGGGAGCCAGGCATGGTGGCATACGTCTCTAGTGTCAGCAGTTGAAGGGCTGGTGCAGGAGCATCATTTAAGCCTAGGAATTTGAGACCAGTTCAGGCGACAAAACAAAACCCATCTAAAAAGACCAGAAGGTCAAGATGCTTAGGGGTGGGCAGTTTCAACAAGCTGGTGGTCTCCCCACACTGGAGCCACTGAGACAAACAGCTGAGGCTGTGAGGAAGCCAGAGACTCGGGAAGGGGGTGAGTGACAGGGAGGGAGGGAGATGGTTGGATGCAGCACAGACCAGAATAGCAAAGAGGAGAGGGATTTATTCTGGGCCTCTCGGGTGTATGGAGAAGCCTGGACCTAGCTGGCCCAAACTGGCTTCTAGAAGGGCCCAGAACCTGAGCTGTTTTGTCTATGGATGGTACCCCTCTCCTGTTAAAGATCACCCCCAAAGGAACAACTTGATGTCTTCTCCATGTGTGAGATTCCCTTCACCAAACTGAAATCTCTCTTGCCATCAAATTCACTTCCTGAGAAGATATCTGCTCTGTCCATACAGTGAAGCAGTGCAACGGGCAGATTCCCAGTTTTCATTCTTTCTGCAAATCAGCAGTTCAGGAAGGGGTTCACAGATGCAGGGAGACTCTGTGCAATTCTAACAACTGGGCTAGAGTCTCAGAAAGCTCAGCAGTGATGCAGGCAGGTGCCATGGCCAACTCTGCACATGAATCCTGGTTAACAGATGGGAGTGGGGAATCTGAAGGGGGAGATCACATTGGCAGGATGGGGAGAGATGTCCAGGAAAAGAATGGTCAGTGTCTAAAGGTTCCTATTGCTGTGATGAAACACCATGACCGAAAGCTAATTGGGAAGGAAAGGGTTTATTTGTCTTACACTTCCACATCACAGGTCATCATCAAAGGAAGTCAGGGCAGGAACTCAAACGGCAGGGACCTGGAGCCGGGAGCTGATACAGAGGTCAGTCAACACTGCTCACTGACTTGCTCTTCACAGTGTACCAGCCTGCCTGCTTTCTTATCAAACCCGGAAACACCAGCCTGAGGGTGGCACCACCCACAATGCACTGGGCCTTCCCCAACAATCACTAATTAAGAAAATGCCCTACAGGCTAGCCTACAGCCCAATCTTTTGGAGACATCTTCTCAACTGAGGCCCCTCCTCTCTCATGACTCTCCCTTGTGCCAAGTTGACATAAACTAGCCAGGACACCTGGCCCTTTGTCAGCCTGACACACAAACTCATCACTGCTAAGGCACGGCTCTTCCTTTCTTGTTCATCCTCAAGAACACATGTTAATATGAACATCACAGTATAAAATGTTCACAGTCTTGGACTGGAGAGATGGCTCAGAGGTTGAGAGCATTGCCTGCTCTTCCAAAGGTCTTGAGTTCAATTCCCAGCAACCACATGGTGGCTCACAACCATCTGTAATGAGGTCTGGTGCCCTCTTCTGGCCTGCAGGCATACACACAGACAGAATATTGTATACATAATAAATAAATATTTTAAAAAAATGTTCACAGTCTTACAAGTCCACAACCTTTACAAATTTTCAAACACTTTAAAATTCAGTCTGCTTAAAAATCTAAAGTCTCTTTTAATAAACTACAATCTCGCTGGGCAGTGGTAGCACACACCTTTAATCCCAGCACACTGGAGGAAGAGGCAGGTGGATCTCTTTGAGTTTCAAGGCCAGCCTGTACCACAGAGCAAATTCCAGGACAGCCAGGGCTACAAAGAGAAATCTTGTCTCTAACCCACTGCCCAAATCTAAAATTTCTTTAAAAATTTAATCTCTCTTGGGGCTGGAGAGATGGGTCAGTGGTTAAAAGCATTGGCTGTTCTTCCAGAGAATCCAGGTCCAATTCCCAGCACCCACATAGCAGCTCATAGCTGTCTATAACTCCAGTTCCAGGGTCTGACACGCTCACACAGACATGTGCAGGCAAAACACCAATGCACATAAAATAGAACTAAATATATCACTAAAATCCAGTCTTTCAACTGTGGCTCCTATAAAGTAAATAAATATTTCTTACTTCAAGAGGGAAGAACCAGGGCACAATCACAATCAGATCAAAGTAAAACACGCCCCAACTGTGTAAATGACTCAGTGTCTAACGTCTGGGATCTACCCACTATCTTCTGGACTCCCAAGGGCGTGGCTCACTTCTCTGATTCTGTCCTCCACAGTGCACATAGCTTGTCTCATAGGCTCTACTCTACCACTGCTGTTGCTCTTGGCAGTTACCCCATGGTACTGGCATCTCCAAAATGTTGGGGATTTCTGCTGCAGCTGGGCAGCACCTTCAATAGCCTCTCCTGGCTCTCTTCATGCTGCTAAGCCTCAACTCTCCACATGACCCTTCAGTCCTGGGCCATCAGCTGCTACTGAGGCTGCAGCTTCACTAGTGGCCTCTCCTGGCCTCTCACAGTGCCAAACCTCACTTGCTCTCCATGACCCCTTCATGTCTTCAAAACCAGTGCCACTTTGGTGACTCTAACACTACCAAGTTTGGTTGCCAGCACAAGGTACAACCTTGGTCGCCTCTGGAACATAGCTTGTGTGTGTTTGTGATGTCTCTCTCTCTCTCTCTCTCTCTCTCTCTCTCTCTCTCTCTCTCTATCTATCTATCTATATATATACTAGTTTTTCAAGGCAGGGTTTCTTTGTGTAACTGTCCTGGCTGTCCTGGAACTCACTCTGTAGACCAGCCTGGCCTTGAACTCAAGCGATTCTTCTGCCTCTGCCTCCCAAGTGCTGGGATTAAAAGTGTCACCACCACCCATTGCTGGTCTCTTCTTAACCATTAATGTCTCAGCTCCAGCTAAGCAGCATCGTTGTCTCAGTAAACAAAGGGTTTCACTTCATTTGTGCTGGTCATTTGTTAATCAGTCCCTATCTCCAGCTGAGCAGACACCATGGCGTCTTCACACAAATGATCCTGTAGTCTTTGCTTACCTCGGAAACCTCACAAGCCAGGCCTTCATCATCTGCACTGCTCCCAACATTCGTCTTGTCTAGGCTCCTACTATCCATTCCTCTGAGCTCTCAACACTCAGTGCTTCTCTAACCCAAATATTCCAAAGTCCTCCCACAGTTCTCCCAGAAAAACATGGTCAGGTCTGTTATCGCCTTACCCCACTCTCGTGGTGCCAGTTTCTGTCTTGGTAAAGGTTACCATTGCTGTGATGAAACACTGTAACAAAAAGCAACAGAAAGGAAAGGGTTTATTTGGCTTACACTTCCACATCATTGTTCGTCATTGGAAGAAGTCAGGACAAGAACTCAAACAGGGCAAGAAACTGGAGGCAGGAGCTGATGCAGAGGCCATAGAGGAATGCTTGCCACTGTCTTGTTACTTGTGGCTTGCTCATGGCCTGCTTTCTTACATAACCCAGGACCACCAGCCCAGGGCGGCACCACCCGTGGACTGCCTGCCCTCCCATCAATCACTATTTAAGAAAATGTACAGTCAAGTGGTGGTGGCACACACCTTTGATCCCAGCACTCGGGAGGCAGAGACGGATGAGTTTGAAGCCAGCCTGGTCTACAGAGAAAGTTCCAGGACAGGCTTCAAAGCTACACAGAGAAACCCTGTCGAAAGAAAAAGAGAGAGAGAGAGAGAGAGAGAGAGAGAGAGAGAGAGAGAGAGAGAGGCTTCCCAGCAGGACACAGGGTCACTGGAGGCATTCGTATGGCAGCAGGCACATGAAGCCCTATGAGGATCTTGGCACTCCCACTCAGTCTGTTCCCACTGCTCCTAGCCACCGAATCCACCAGGAAAGGGGTGTGCACATGAGCCTATCCACCCTTAGCAGTTATATCAATGCAGGTATTTTAGGTCCCATGTTGGACAGGACAAGGACCAGGTTTTACCAGAGACCTCTTACTGTAGCTACTTACCACACCACAGAGCTTGTTCCCCCAGGAGACCTTGCTCCTCCCTATGTGGTTCACCTACCCCCAGAAGTGGGCTGGGCTGCCCTGGGTCTCGGGAGCTGTGAGAGCACAGCTGTGACAGTTTCACAGCGCCTCTCAGCTGTGACAGTTCCCAGCTCTCAGCGGTCTCAGGTGCTCTCCTGGCCTCCGGGGCTGGGCCTGGAAGAGATGAGCAGAGGCTGACACCAGGAGAGACCAAGAGACAAGTGCGCAGGCAGAGGGACAGAAAGGGGAGGCTGATGGCCCCACAGAGGCTCAGCAAAGGCTCCAGCTGGGATTCCCCTTTGAACCTTTTGTTTCTTTCCCTCCAGTCTGTGGTGAGAGACCAGGGCCCAGAGCAGGTCTGCAGGGCCCAGAGCAGGGCTGTTCAGGGTGGCAGTCACTCCCCTCACCCCTTTAGTGGGTCTCCAGAGGCTCCCCACAGGGCCTCCAGTGAGATCCTGAAACCCTTAGTGTTGAGAATAGCATCCGTTCTACTCCCTCAGGACAGAGTTCTCCTAGCTTTCAGAATGCCTGATGTGGTAGTTAGCAGGAAAATGTCCCCCAGAAGGAAGTGGCACTATCAGGAGGTGTTGTCTTTTTGGAGTAGATGTGGCCTTGTTGGAGGAAGTGTGTCACTCTGGAGGTGGGCTTTAAGGATTCACATATCCTCGAGTCATGCCCGATGAGAGAGTTCACTTCCTGCTACCTTTGGATCAGGATATAAAGCTTATCAGCTTCAGCACCATGTCTGCCTGCACGCCGCCATGTCCTGCCATGATGATGGTGCACTACACCTCTGACCTGTAAGCCAGCTCCAGCTAAATGTTTGGTTTCCTAAGAATTGCTTTGGTCATGGTGTCTCTTCATAGCAATAGAAACCCTAACTAAGAGACCTGAAGTCACCAAAAATCCTTTTGAGGACACTGACCACTTTTCTAAAGTCCCCAAGAGGAGTTAAGGCAACAGTCAGTGTCTCACAGACGAGGACCTCAGCAGGAGTAGAACTGTCTGAGCACAGGTAAGGCACAGCCACCGCTTAGTGGCTGTCACATCAGCTGGCCTCTCGTTCCGTGTTCTCGGTTTGCTAAGAAGTGCTGATGGAGCCTTGTCCCCTGGACACTGGATAACAGCCTGTGGCTAGAGCCCATGCACAGTGGGTCCCAGCACACGCTCATACTTCTTGACTTTGGACCTGACTCAGTCTAACAGGATCCCAGCTCCAGGAAGAAACTGGGGGACCAGGAAGAGAGCATTGTTCCGTGTCACCCTCAGCCCCCCAACAGCCGGCGCTGTCAGTGTCCTCATTTCACAAAGAAACAGGTTTGGGGAGAGCAAACCTGACCCTTACTCCTGAGTGCTCAGTGGAGCAGTGTGAACCAGGGTTTCTGGGCTTTGGGAGGGCTACTCTTCTCCCAACCATCACCCAGGCCCAGGCCCCCCAACATCCAGAGTCCTGGCCATAATACATCCTCTTCCTCCCAGAATCCCCTGGCTAGCGCATCAGGAGAGACATCTGATCCAGGCCATAGTCCTCCCCAATTTCACCTCCCTCTGGAAGGCTCATGTCTCCAGAAGGCGCCCACCTACCTGCTACAGATTCTAGGGTGTGGGAGTCCTCCACATGAGTCCTCACCTGTCCACCAACTCCTCTTCTAGAAGAAGAGCTGGCTTGCTGGCTGTGTGGAAGGAGAGACAGCTGGCCCAAGCCCTGTGTGGGGGAGGCCTTGACTGCTCCAGTGTGGAGAAGGGAAGATGGACGCCAGCTGCGCACCAGGGTTTAAGCCTGGGAAGCCTTAGGGGCCTGGCAGAGACAGAGTTGGAGGTGGCTGCTGAGTACCTGGTCCTGCACAGCCTCCAAAGCTCACAAGAAACCCACAACTCGGAGGCTCTTACCTCCAATACATCCTAGACCCTTTCCAGCTCAGCCCATTGCTGTACCTGCTCTTGGTCCACCTCCTGCAGGGAAGTCTAGAACAGAGAGAGGCAAAATCAGCTCTTGTCTTGATCTAGTCCTTCCTCAAAGCCAAGGTCACTGGCAGGACTCCTCAGGGCCCTACCTTCACAGGGGTCCTCTCATGGGGATCCAACCCTCACAGGACCCCATCTTCACAGGGGTCCCACCCTCTAAGGGTCCCATCCTCACAAGGGTCCACTTTCTTCTTCCTTCTTCCTTCCTTCCCTCCCTCCCTCCCTTTCTCTTTCTTTTTGGTTTTTCAAGACAGGGTTTCTTTGTGTAGTTTTGGAGCCTGTCCTGGAACTCGCTCTGTAGACCAGGCTGGCCTCAAACTCATAGAGAGTCACCTGCCTCTGCCTCCCAAATGCTGGGGTAAAAGGCATACGCCACCACCGCCCAGTGACAAAGGTCCTCTTTCACAGGGGTTCACCCTCACTGGGTTCCCACTCTCACTGGGGTCTCACCCTCATGGAGACCCACCTTCACAGGGGTCCTACCTTCACTGGGGTTCCACCCTCACAGGGGACCCACCCTCATGGGAACCCACCTTCACAGGGGTCCCACCCTCACTGGGGTTTCACCCTCACAGGGGACCCACCCTCATGGGGTCCTCCTGTGTCTATGGATGCACCCAGAGAAGAGGCCTCACTGGCACTGGACTCAGAGCTGATGGCAAGTACTGGGGGAGAGAATGAAATGGCTCATTCTTCGCACCACACTGCACACACAACTGAAAACCTGGAACATTCCTCCCAATGCTCCATGCTTCACTCACAGCTTCCCTTTTACTGAAGTCCCCAGACAACCACCAATGCATCCTTAATGTTGCCAGGGATCCCTGATGTCAGTCCAGGGTAGTACTGTTCTGCATGTCTAGGTCCTTCAATCTCCCTCCCGCACCCCCCCCCAGGCTCCCCTCCTCCTGCAGGCTCCCCCACCACAGGCGCCTCCCGCAGGCTCCCCTGGCACCCAAACCGTTTCAGCCTCTGGTCCCCCTGCTTCATGTGGGATCCTCCTTGCCAAGCTGTAAATTGCCTGACCCTTCCAGGCTCCCAAAGAGGTATGAGGGCAGAGCAGCCCGCCTCTGGGTCTGGAAAGAGTATGGCCGGTGGGATCCCACTATTCCCATTCACTTTGTAATCATGCCAGCCTGTTCTGTGTGCTGCCTGCAGCCTGGACCCTACCTCTACTTCTGTTGTCAGGCTCAGCTCCTCCAGTTCCTAGAAACAAGGGCCCAGTGTGGCCTTAAGGACTCCATCCACAGTACAGAGGGAGATTAGAGCTGTGTCCTGTATATGGGCCATCCCAACCCCTAAGCCCTTCCCCAGCCTGGTGTTTGGGAAAGTGTGTTCAGACTACCTTGGGCCAACTCTTAACTGTGAAGGTAATTGTGGAAGCCTACCCCAGACCACCCTAACCCACCCCCTGACCTCTGCTAGGGTCTGTCCCTCTGACCTCTGTCCATGACCTCTGCTGGGGTCTGTCCCCCTGACCTCTGTCCATGACCTCTGCTGGAGTCTGTCCCCCTGACCTCTGTCCATGACCTCTGCTGGGGTCTGTCCCTCTGACCTCTGTTCATGACCTCTGCTGGAGCCTGTTATTCCCTGACCTCTGCCCATGACCTCTGTTGGAGCCTGTACCCCCTCTGACTTCTGCCCATACCCTCTACCGGAGCTTGCTCCCCCCCCCGGCCTATGCCCATGCGTCACTGGAGCCTCCCCGCCATGAGCTCTGCCCATCGAGCCTAGCTTGCAGGCTCTTGCTCCTCTCCAGGCCTTAGCTACTGTAGTCTCTGGGTCCTGGGACACAGAGCAGCTACTGGGGTGTGGCCTGTCCCCTTGTCTGCACTCTATTCTGACCATCACTAGTGTCCCACTCTGTTGAGTCATAGGCCATTGACCACAGCCAGTGCCCCACTCTATTGAGTCATAGGCCATACTCAATGGAGTCAAGGAGACCACTGGGTCTCTGAATGCCCCAGCTCTTTAAAGTCCCCTGAACATTATTTCCAGTGGCTATCTGGGCCTTGGAGACAGCATGGGACCCAACCAGTAGTAGAGCTGGGACCAGGAGTTCATGGAATCCCTGCTGTTTGATGGACCCAAGGAAGAGTCCACAGTGGTCACCACAGGTGGAGAGAGTGGGGCACACCTAGTGCCTGCATGAGAAAATCACCTGTGCAGTCCCCAAAGAGAAGCCAAACTGGGGCCCACCTTGCACTGGCCCCCAGGGACTGATCTGGGGCCCCTGTGGAGGTCTACTGGGAAGGGGTGGGTGCGAAGGTCGCTGGAGCACCTGGATTGCTGCAGTAGACGCTGTCTTCCCTTCTAATTGGCTGAACTGTTCAGGTTCCCGTGTCCCTGTCATTGGGTGTGGGCTCAGGCTGCACTGACCAGAGGACCAGTTCTCAATCTTAGCAGCTGACACTAGGTTCTGGTCCCCGCAGCAGCCAACTCCTGGCCCTGCCCTCACACACATACTTACCATACTGCTGCCCGTGTTTGGACTTTTGGAATAGAATAGCTACTGCAGTTCCTGAAGCTCTATACTCTTGAGTCTAAATGCCCAGGAACTACAGGAGCCTGACCAGGAAGCTTGGGACCCATTATACAGAAAGAACAGCTGAGGCTCCATTAGGAAAAGGGTTCTAGTGACTGGCAGTGCCTGTACCTCCCACTGTTTTTCAACAGCTCTGGGATCCTCAGGAAGGGTTTGTTGAGGGTCCTGATCTCACGTGGGATCATCTACCTGATGCTCCTAGGTCCTTTAAATGTCTGCAGCTATTTGATTGTTTCCCTCGGTCCTGCTGCTGGGCAGGGGAAGCCTATGAGGGGCAAACTGCACCCCCATCACAGGTTCACCATATCCCCCTTGAGGTTGGGCAGTGCCCCACTGAAGACAGCACCACTCTGCAGCCTAGCATTGCCTGTCCTCATTACTCAGCCTGGAGGAGTTAGATATCCTGAGCAGAGCCCACCGCCATCCTCCTCGGAACACAGGGGCCTTTTGCAGCTGCGAACTTCCTGGGGTCATGTAAGGAGACAAGGGAAACAGAATAGCTGGTTCCCGAGATCCTAAGTCCCACCCACCCACCCATCCAATGAGAAAGTAGTGGGAAGCAAAGTGGGGATGTTGTGTGCTGAACTGTGTCCCCTAAAAAAGAATTCTTGCAGCTTCCTGCACCTCAAAATATGGCCATATTTGGAGATACTAACCAGGTTAAAAGGAGACTCCTGAACTAGGTCCTAATCCCATGTGACTGTGATCTTTACAGAAGGCAGAAGGTAAGTTCAGATGCAGGTACGGCCTGGGAGCACATGGATGCGAGCAAGGGCAGGGACCCAGGTGACAAGAATGGCAAAGGTGGCAGGATCCAGCAGAGCCCACAACTAGGAGCCCAGCATCGGCCGTTGGCAGCAGGGTCTCCCACTGAAACTCCAGCCTGCGAAGCTGTTTCAGTCCGAGGCTGAGGTGCTAGGCTGTGGCTAGGTAGCAAAATAAAACAGGGGGCGCAAGGATTGGACCCCCACGTGGCAGCTTTCTGTACTCCAGATGACCCTGATTTCAAAGGGAACTTCCTCTTCTTTTGTGGCCTCTCTTGCAACCCCAGGAAGCATGTAATAATTAGCTACACGTGTGATCACGTGACGAGGAGGAAGAAAGTTGTCCAGTTTTACAGCTCAGGGCCAGAGAAGTACAAGTGACTTGCCCAAGGTCACACAGGCACTATGGAGCCAGGATTTCAGACCAGCATCCATGGGCCTCATCTGTCTTAACCACAGTAAGAAGCACTGACTCCTTGGATTAAGGACAGCCAGGAATGACATTGGAAGGCAAAACTTGTTAGAAGATTTGGAGCCCTAAGGGCTAGGCCTTTGCCAATCAGACAGCATAGCATGGGCTTCAGCCAGCCCCTGGCCAACCGCTATTCCACCTGGCCAAAGCCTTTGCCTGGCAGAAGAATACCGTGGGAAGCTTGGTCTGTGGTCTGTGAGCCACATGTCACAGGGTTCTATGAGCTGCTGTCCACATTCTCTGCCCTGCCCTTTTGACAGGTTCAGAGCTAGGACAGTTCACAGGTGGTCCTTGGCCAGCTGCCTCTCCCATCCCTTCCAGTTACATCAGCAGGCCAGCCTAGGCAGGGGCCTGTGACTCTTAGACCCCATCCCCATCTTACAGCACTGTGTCACCTGGCCTCCCTTTGTTGGTTCTGCGTCCTGCTCCATGTGCACACTGCTGGAAGAAAGTTTACATGTAGTGTGTCCGTGGGAGTGTGCATGCACACCTCAGTGTGAGTCTGCGCAAGCCTGCATTTGCCCCAAGAGACCAAAACGAAAAGGCTGCCAGGAGGCTGCAATTGGTTTGGAACTGGAGTTGGGGGTGGGGAGGAGACATCAGAGCCTACAGCACCTGAGTCCTTGATCTTGTTCCTGTCCTACACCCCACAGTAACCACCTCGCCACCTCTGCTTGCCGTCTGGGACAGGTATTATTTTCTATTTGTGTGCATGTGCGCACATGGGAGACAGAGGACAACTTTATGAAGCCAGTTCTCTCTTCCTACCTTTATGTGGGCTCCAGGGATGGAACTCAGGTGGCCAGGCTTGTCCAAGTGCTGTTCCCTCCTGTAGTCATATTTCATTTGTATTTTAATAAATAAAGCTTGCCTGAAGATCAGAACGCAAAAACTGTCACACTAGTCAGCCATACAGGCCAGGCAGTGGTGGTACACAACTTTAATCCCAGCAGCCACATTAGTTAGCCATAGAGGATGCGTGGTGGCGGTGCACGCCTTTAATATCAGCACTAGAGAGGAATGTAAGGTGGGATGAGACAGGAACTCACTCTCTTTCAGTATGAAGAATTCATAGAAGCTCTCTCTAGGGGCTTTGTAAATGGAGACTAATTGTTCGTTCCCAGCCACCCAGACCCAAATCACACAGAAACTATTAATTACAACACTGTTTGACCTACTAGCTTAGGTTTCTTATTAACTAACTCTTACATTTTAATTAACCCATTTCTATTACTCTGTGTATTGCCACAAGGCTGTGGCTTACCAGTAAGGTTCTGAGTGTCCTTCTCCTTCAGTCGTCTTTTTGACTCTACCTGCTCTCTCTCTGTTCTTCCAGCCTGGCTATATTCTGCCCTGGCACAGGCCGAAGCAGCTTCTTTATCAAACAATGGTAATAAAGCATCCATTCCTAGCATACACAGGGAATCACACATCATGGCTTGGCTGTTTTGCTTTTCTGATCTTGGGTTCAACCCTAATATCTGTCTCCGGGCTTTATTATTTGTGCTACACCCTCCTGAGCCATCTCCCCAGCTGCTGTGTAGCTGTTCCCAGGAGATAAAACATTCCATCTCAAGACTCAGCAATTTCTAAAGGGGGTTATTATGGCTCATGAAGCAAGCAACTCAAAAAGCTTCAGGAAGTCCCTGCATCAGGTGTGCTAGGGCTCCCTCCCAAGCTCATCTCTGTAGCAAGGACTCCAGAAGGACACTCGCAGACCAGCAGCACCGCTTGGAAGAGACATTTCCTAAACTGTCAGTTGAGCAACCTGTGAGTTGTGCAACAAGATCAGATTTCCAGCGGTCAGGAGCCATCACCAGCGCTGCGATGGGTTTCCGGTGACAACTGCCTTTGAGTTGTTTCTGCTCTTGAGATTCTCCCCTCACTCATATACCTGAAAGGAACCCCAGTAAATTTGCCGCTTTCCCTAAATTGGACTTAGGTAGCGTCTTAGTTAAGGCTTCTATCGCTTTGACAAAACACTGCGACCAAAAAGCAAGTTGAAGAGGAAAGGGCTTATTTGGCTTATATTCCTACATCACTCTTCACCCCTTAGGAAGTTAGGAGAGGAACTGAAACTGGGCAGGATCCTGGAGGCAGGAGCTGGTGCAGAGGCCATGGAGGATGCTGCTTACTGGCTTGTTTCTCATGACTTGCTCAGTCTGCTTTCTTATAGAACCCAGGTTCACCAGCCCAGGGATGGCACCACCCACCATAGGCTGGGCTCACTGATCACTAATTGAGAAAATGCCTTACAGCTGAATCTCATGGGAAGCATTTTTCTCAGCGAGGCTCCTTCCTCTCTGATATCTGCCTCTCTAGCCGTGTCAAGCTGACACCCAAAACCGGCCAGCACAGGTAGAATCCTTCCTCTGTCCTCAGTTCTCTCTCTTGAGCAAGCAGATGTTTGTTCATGCATCTCCAGGGAATGTTTCACAACCCCGCCTGGGCCGGGGATCATTTACAAGCTCCTACCCCATCTCCTCTTCTCTGGGTCTCTGTACATGCTGCCTGCTCTTCCTGAAGTGCCCTGCATTCCAGCTTTCCTCCTGGAAAACGCCCACTCAACTCTCAGGGAGGGGTCAGAAGTTCAGAATCCCCTTCTCCAGAGAGGCCCTTGCTATCCACTGCCCGTCTCCTGGTTGGTCTCTCTCTTCACTGGCACACGGAATTGTAATCACTTCTTTCTTGACCTATATGTCCTCAAGCCATACGCTTTTGGGGACCAGGAGCTGACTGCTCTAACATGGGTTCTGCACATAGGAGAGACCCAGGAGTGTAGTGGATGCTCACCAAATGCACGCTCAATGTTTGGGGGCTCCATGGAGGAGAGGTAGAGAGAGGGAAGAGGACATAGGATAAAGCTAGGGGGAAGAGCCTGGTTGGCTTGCAATTGGGAAGAGAATGGAAAGCAGAAAAGAGGTAGAGGGGGTTCCTACCTGGGAAAGCCAGACCCCACTCTCCTTTGGAGTCTCTGAAGTAGAGCTAGCTCTCTCTCTCTCTCTTCTCTGTCTCTCTCTCTCTCTGTCTCTCTCTCTCTCTGTCTCTCTCTCTGTCTGTCTGTCTCTCTCTCTCTCTCTCTCTCTGTGTGTGTGTGTGTGTGTGTGAGAGAGAGAGAGAAAGAGAGAGAGAGAGAGAGAGAGAGAGAGAGAGAGAGAGATAAGAGCAATTGTCATCTGGTGCCAGCAGCCCTCCAATAATCAGCTCCCTGCTTATGATGCAGCCTGGGAGGTGATTCCTGCTTCTCTAGCTCCCTCCTGAGGGACACTGGTACCTCCCAGAAACTGGGATGTGCTGATAGAAATGAGGTACTCTGGACTCAATGTGGGCCTTAGGTCATTCCACCCCATCCCTCTATTCTTTCAAAAATAGGTGTACACTCAGCTGGGCAGTGGTGGCACACACCTTTAATCCTTGGGATTAAAGAGCACTTGGGAGGCAGAGGCAGGTGAATCTGTGAGTTTGAGGCCAGTCTGGTCTACAGAGAGAGTTCCAGGACAGGCACCAAAGCTCCAGAGAAACCCTGTCTTGAAAAACAAAAAACAACAACAAAGCTCCAGAACGTGACCAACAGGAATGCAGATACTCAAGCGAGGAGTTGGACTCTGGCCATGTGACTCAGGGCTCTGACTGTTCTTACCAACCAGTGACAGAGGCTAGCCAAGCTCTTGCCAATGGAGCCATCTCATTCTGTGAAAACAGGGAGCCCCGCCCAGCCAAACTTGCACATTCTAGGAATGTGCCCAAGCAGCCATTTAGCAGGCCTCCTGGTCACTGATCACCAGAGCGGCCAGCAGCACTGATTTCTCCCAGCAGCTGGGTACACTCTGCCTTCAGTGCCTGAGCATGGTCGTCTAACACTGCAGCTCTCCGTAGCTGCTGCAGCTGCTCCAAGAGTCCCTTCTGTGGCTCTGGCCCAGCTCTTCTGAGTCTCTTGTTTACCGAAAAAGAATCCAGAACACCCAGAGTAAGGCACTCAGCCTCTGCTGGGATTGTGAGGCCCAGGCTAGCCCTGAAGGGTTTACCCATGCAGCCCCTTCCTCCCTGAACCCCTGAATTACTGTTTCTTGTGGAACACTTTTATAGTCACTGTTCTATTGCTGAAAGAGACACCATGACCAAGGCAATTCTTATGAAAGACAGAATTAATTGGGGGCTGGTTACAGTTTAGAGGCTTAGTCCATTATCACAGTGACAGAGAACATGGTGGCAGGCAGGCATGGTGCTGTACAAGCTGACAGCTACATCCTAATCTGGAGATAGAGAGAGAGAGAGAGAGAGAGAGAGAGAGAGAGAGAGAGAGAGAGAGAAGGCATAGTTAGGCCTGATTTGAGTTTTAGAAACCACCCCAGAGACACACTTCCTCTAACAAAGCCACACCTACTCCAACAAGGTTTACACCTCTTAATCCTTCTAATTCTTTCAAATCATATCACTCCCTCCCTGGCGACTAAGCACTCAAATAGATGAGCCTTTGGGGACTACTCTTACTCAAACCACCACACCAAACTTTCCAGGTGGTGTGGGACATTCCCACATTCCAGCTGTAGCAACATTTCCGTGAACCAACATCCACTCTAGACCTGCACTGGGTTACCCGCTAGCAGAGGGGGCTAGTTGTGGGAACAGCCGTGTAGATGAACCTCCTCAAGTCACACTGGGTGAAGGCCTGTCCTAGTCGGTCTCTCCTAGTCTTTCTCTTTCCCACCGGTTCTTAGTAGCCCTTACCCAGCCTCAGAAGCCCCCAGGAATAAGGCCAGGCCCTCCTCTCTCTGTCCCCCAGGCATATGTGAGCTGGGGCCTCGCTCTGCACCCTCATTTCTCCTGCCAGGGGTTTTAACCCACCTGGGTGAGCATCAGAAAGTGCTTCTGTACAGAGGCCGCTCCAGTGCCAAGGCAGAGGTCTCAGCTCCCCCCAGGGAGACTCTGCCTGGGCCCCCCAGATATCTGGGCCTTGTCATCATCACAGCTCTGCTCCTGGGTCTTCAGCCAGGCCTTAGCATCTGCAGTGCGGGACCCTGAGGCCTCCTCACATAAGGGGGTATGTCGTGGCTGGTAGTTCCTGACAACTTGGACTGTGAACCTACGTAAGCTCTTCCCTATAGTCCGGTCTTACTTTCTCTGTTTGACCAGGGGCAATTGGACTGAATGCTGAAAGGTTGAGAAGAGGGTCCCTCTGCTTACTGCACTCCTTTCTTGGTTCCTGCTTCAAGAAGGAAGACCAGAGAATACAGTACAGGGCAGAGCTGAAACTGTAACAGAGCTGGGGGCAGAGCTTTGCCGTACATCCACTTGGGAGGGGCTCTGGTGTCATCCCTACCCTAGAAGTCTCTAGGCTAGATTCTAGGCCAAGGTGCTGCCAGCACATCTGGTCCAGATGCTGCTGTGCCTTCCCCATCACTGTCTGCAGTAGGAAGACAAAGGGGCTGTCTGTCTGTCCTCTGCTACTCCTATCTCCTCTCAGTCCCCAGCCTCACTCGCTTTCTGGCCTTGTCTCTTCCACTCCTGTTGTCCCTGGGGTCCCTGCAGCAGGTGCCTCTCCTGCTCCTGGCGGGCCAGAAAGCATTCCACCTTCTGGGAAGAATGCTGACGGCAGCAGATCTGCAGAGCGACTGGGAGTGCTGGCTCATCCTCTCAAGCCCACAAGGCAGGATAGAGGCTGCAGCCTCTGATAAAGCAGATTCCTAGCCAGGGGCCCAGCTGATGGCTTATAAACAAGGGAGTGTGCCTCATAGCTCAGGGTGGGGGAGACGGGGTGGGGGGTGGTGCTGCTGCTCAGAAGTTATCTCTTACTGCAGAACTCCAGACATGCACTCTCCACCCCCAGCTGATCACACACACACACACACACACACACACACACACACACACACACACACACCACCTCTCCCTTGTAGCTGAAGATGGCTCCAGAGCTCAGGATAGCAGTAAGAGGACTAGGGACTCTGTTGTGGAATGCTAGAGAGCAGGGAGGCTAAAGAAATGAGTTGTCACCTGGGTCCCGAGGGTCACCCAACCCAGGTGGGGAGCAGTGGACCCATGAGGGTCATCAATAGACTGAGACACTAAGTCATTAAAATACTCGGACATCTCGGCAATCCAAGTGGCTCTACTTGTACCCTTGCATAGAGCAGGAATGGTGTGACCTGACCAGGAAGCCTCAGCCTACAAAGTCACCTCCCCATCTGTGATAGTGATGGCCAGTTTATCTGGTTATATAAGGAAGCTCTTGTGTGTGCTGTGTGTGCACAGGAATCCAGGCCCTTCTGCCTCCAATCAGTGAACGTCCCTAGCCTCAGCCAGCACCTGCCTCCCAAATGTAAGTACAGTTCCAGGACAGCCATGAGAGTGCTGTTCAGCAGGGCTTCCCTGCTGGCTATCCCATTCCCCTTTCTTCCCCAGACTCTCTGACTCTTAGAACATGAACCCAGGTATGGGCAGAAGCTCTGAGCACTCTGGAGCTTTCATTTCTGGTATGGGAACCCTGTCAGCTTAGAAGATTCCTTAGGGCTGCAGGCGGGCTAGGAGGACTTGGGGGAGAAGATGGGAGACTCATTTTCTGTTTGAGCATTGGCTCACAGCAGGCCTGGCTTCCTGGCTTGTGCTCACACTTCTGCAGATTTTGGACTCGGTCCAATAGGCCGCTGGACGGCTCAGAGGTGACTGGCCAGCTTGGTTTACAGCCGCCCGTTCTCTGCTAGCCTGACCTGAAGCTCCTTTGGCTGCCTTCTGTCGCACTCTGGGACTTTGTCTGAGCACCTGCCAGGAAGAGAGGAACCATGCTGTGCCTTGGATCCCAGGAGGCTGGTGCTTACCTGAGTCCTTCAGTGGGGCTTGGTCGGTGGACACAGAATAGAGGACACAGTGACAGAGGTCCCAGGGGCAGCTGACAGGGCTGAGTATTGCTTCACAGACACTATGCAATAAGCCCTGCAGTTTTTGGATATGGAGTAGTCCTGGCTCCTAAGCACTGGGCTGAGATGCAGAACTGGGGTCCGTCCTACTCCTCACCCCTGGCCCAGGGTCCCTCGATGATTTGATTGACACTTCACATATACATCAGCCTTTTCTCAGGTTTAGGCTTCTCTGAGCTATGGGTGCTGACTTAGGGTAACCTTCCTCAACCAACAAGATGTGTTTGATCCTTACAAGAGCCACTTTCAAGGGGAACTGAAGCTGAAAACAGGATGATGGATGTCGCAGGTCTTGCTGGCAGTCCTGGAAAGCCTGGAATTTGCTCTCAGTGCTATCTGACTCAGTTGCCCACTTCCCCCAACTCTGCCGCTGCCCAGTGGTCTTCATCCAAGTACAGACGCTGGAAACTGTAGAGCTCAATAATTCACAAGCTACTACTTTATGATGTAAGGAACCAGAAGCCTTCATCCCTGCTCTGGGGGCTCTCTGGCTTCAGCTCCTGCCCTCCATACCCACCACTTTGGTGAGGGGACTCGTGGACTAGCTCAGTGGTACCACTATTTCTCACCACTGGCTTCTTTACCTACAAGGGATGGACCAAGTACTACTGAGATTTCATCCACTCAGAGGATGAAGGAGAACTCTGTGGCCCACCTATTCCCTGGCTCCAGGTCGGCCACTCCAGTTTTAGGAAGGGCCTAGATATCTCCATTTGAGCAGATGGTGCTCATGCTCCTCTCCTACCTCACCTTTCATGGCTCCAACTCCAAAACACCTTACACTCCTAGGACTTTGTCCCTCTCAGGTTGGTTGGTGGCACCCTCCAGCAGGGCCCTCCCCCTCTCAGCAGGTTGACTTCTTCCACTCCAGGTCCATTCCCACAGCCCTTCTTGGTTGGCTTCCTACCAGTGCCACCCAAGGCCACTCTAAGACAGACCATGATTTCTGACCCCATGCCCTGGCACAGCACCCGCAATTCCACCCTAACTAGGCTCAAGGGGACTGGGTTTTCTGCAAGGCTGCCCATTGTCCTCTTTGAGAAGCAGGGTTGTGCTGAAATGGTTTTAAGAGGCTCATGGTTTTCCAAGCCAGACTGTTGGGTGTGAGGAGCCAAGTGAGGGTGACATCACAGCACAGAGAAGGGGAATCTGACCTCTCTCAGGATGCTTTCGAGGGAAGTGACTTTGGGGCTGAGGCTCAAATGTGCATCCATTCATTACAGGCAGGATGAAGCTGGATGTGGGAGAGGAGAACACAAGGGCAGTCAGAGGAGAGAACTGGGGGTTCAAGAACCTAGGAGGTGAAAAAAGGCAACAAGAAACAAGAGGGACCATGGGGGTTGAGTAAAAGCAGAACAGGGACATCTCCTTGGTGCCCTGGAGTCATGCTGCAGACCAGGGACACAGAAAAAGGCTTGATGGGCAAAGGGCACAGGCTGGGCAAAGTGTGGTGCCCGCGCAGCCGGTGAGCGGCCAGCCTCCTTTGCAGGCGGCCTGGAGAGATGACCTGTGTATTTACACAGGGAGGAGCGAGTCAACACAGCTTAACTTCAGGACCAATTCTTTCCTTCTGTTAGGTGTGAGTTCTTTTATGAAGAGAGACAAGAAAGCAAAGCTCTAATGGGAGACCCTCAAGGCTAAGTTTCTGTTTAAGTCAGCGAGGGGCACTTTTCTAGAGCTGGGAGCTTCGGGCAGAGCGCCTGGATTTTTCATGTTAGCAGGGCATGCAGGAAGACTAAGATTCCCCCCTTCATTCCTGATGCCAGGGTAGGGCAGGAGACACGAGCTTTTTGAGCATGTCTGCTTTAAACTGGAGGATACTGGTTTCCCACAGCTGTGGAAACGTGAGTGGGTAATGTTGGTGGGAGGCGATGACACCACAGAAACCTGTAAACGTATGGTGTGAAATTGTCACTGTGGCCGAGCCTCAGGTGGGAGCTGCATCTTCAGACACCTGAGTTTTCGGTATCTTTGGCTCCTGGGGCGGGACTCCAGGGCAGAAGCAGCTGAAACTGCTATTAGCAAATGTAATCATCCAGGTTTGTGGGGTTTTTTTGTTTGTTTTGTTTTAATTCAGCCACTGTTTGCTTGGGTGGTCGGGCCACTACATTAGAGTCAGAGGCTGAGGTCTCTAGAGACAGTTTCAGTACGGGAGAGAGGCTCGGGGGAGACAGGGTCTGGTTGGTGCATTTCATCTTGCACGGGGAGCTGGGCACATGAAAACCCTGGCTGTCCTAGCTGAGTCAGCGAGATCCTGAAGGGAAGGGGCGCCCCGCCCTGGCCGGCCGCTCCAGCCTCGCGGGCCTCGCGTGGCGTGGGGTAATTAGGTGCAGCACCCGCCCGCTTGGCTGCGCGACGCGCGGGGGCGGGGACGCCGTCAAAGCGAGGCTTTCCCAAAGGACCGCGACCTGTTGTCTTTACTGGAAAAAATAGGACCTCATGATCCCGCCACGACAAAGCGTGGGACAGTAGGTGGGAGGGGTCTGGTCTGAGTGGCCGCACGCCCGAGGTCGCCCCAAAAAGGCTGGCCGAGTGATTCGGGTGGTAGAGCCGAAGCGCGGCACGGCGCGGGGCTTTTGTGTGGCGCGGGTTTCCTAGCCCAGCAACCGTGCTGATTGGCAGTGAGACGCTCTGAGGTGCTCAAGTAAGGGGACGTCCTCTTCGTCAGACCCATCAGCCGGGGACCGCAGGGATCTTCCTGGAGACGGTTCGGCAGGCTCGAGAGAGCCGGGGCGTGGCGCCAAGACTTTCAAAAAACCCGCACAAGCCAAGAGCAGAATGTGTCGTTTGCTTCTTGCGCGCAAGCGGAGTCGCGCCCGTCTTCCTCTGCCCGGGCGCAGCGACCGCTTTCGTCTCTAGCGCCCTCCCGGGCCCCGGGAGAACAATGCCGGTCCTCTCCGCGCGCAGGAAGAGGCTGGCGAGCACGGCCGGGCCGCGGCGGCGGAGTGGACCCAGCCTGGCAGTCCGGTGGGTTCCTCCTTTCGGTCCAGAGCCGGCCTCCGGTCGCAGCCGCACACCGGTGCGGCCCCGGGGGCCTACGTGCACTACCGCACGAGGAGGGGCGGCCCGCGGCCCGAGGCTGCTCCCGGGACCTCCCGGAAGACACCTCCACCGCGGCGGTCCC